ATAAATATCGCATCGGTTCCCATTGCAGAGATCCACTATTTCACATTTATTTTTGTCTGACAGCTTCAATTCTCACAGGCATGGGCCTAATTTACTTCTAATTTCCCTTACTCACAGGGTTTACCACTCGAAGATCTTCATGCGAGGTTTGCCCTACCCAGGGATAATTGAGGTGTTGGTAAGAGCGCGATAGATATCGCGCTAAGGCCAGCCTAACTGACAAGTATTAAAGTATTGCAGAGATAAAGGGATCCACAAGAAGGTGTAGAATTTCTTTGCGATATTGGAAGGCTGTGATGAAACCATCAGGAATCATGTAGAAGTCGGTGCGGCCGTTCGTTGCTCTCCCAGCCCATAAAAATAAGCTTTCTCCTCTGTAATGATTTCTTTCAACGATACTTTGGTGCCTGATAACGTGTCCCTGGCTCTCGCCATTGTCCTTCGAGAATCGTTCTCGATGTTAAATAGAGATTCGTCCGTAAAGAGTACGTGGCCCCACTGTTCTGGTGTCCAACTGCTATGTTCAAGGGCCCGAATCAACCGCTGTCTGACATGTGGTGGGAACACAAGTCTTCGGGTCTATAATTCTCATTCGTGCAGTTAACGGGGCACAGTTTAGCGGGATATGGTCCGTTCTGCAGTAACAGAGAGATGCGACGCCTGCTGTTGTGCTGTTAGTGATCTACGGCGTCTGTGGTAATCTATTGTGTGTTGTGTTGTCTGCCATTATGGTAATCTTCCAGCTTCCAGACCCAGGTATTCTACAGGGGTTATGATCCCTTTGGTAACGATTCCACAGACTAATGATAATGACACTACGATGCACACTCAGCTCTCTTGCTACAGCGGATTATCTTGCCCCAACTTGCAACATCCCGACAGCCCTCCAACCCATTTCATAGTGCAAATGGTGTCTTGCTTTCCGCTTTGTGCAAACGGCTCATGCTTTCCGCTTTTGTTCTCTTGTATTATGCGGAGCTATCACTGCTTTGGAACTGACAGATAGATCTGGCGTGCCTTTTTAAGGCGTTGTATGCTGATAAGTTTTAATTTCCTTTTTACATTCGTACCTGTTCTTTAGAGTACGCTGGAAAATTATATCGAATATCAAAGGGCGAAGTATCGTATTTTCTACCGAAGCTGTTTAAGACTATTATTATGTAATCATTTATTTCAGACAAAAGTGCCATTTTTGACAGTCTGTTTCCGTTTACTAAAAATACGATCAAGATCATCAATTTATTTTTCGAATTATAGCAATGCATTTGCTATTGGTGCAATATACTGAATAAATTTAAAAAAATAGGTTTTCTTACTCATTTTTATCTCTGCCTAAAAAAGCTATTAGTCTCGAAACACAGTTTTGTTTTGATTAATTTTAAATCTATTATTTCACTTTTCATTCGAGTCTGCCGAGGGCAACCCCTTCGGCAAAATGTAAGATATTTATCTTTCAGGCTTAAGCTATCAATTTTGATAAGCTCTTTCCGTTTCCTATAAATACTATCAAGATCGTCAATTTATTTTAATCATTATTTCACTTTTCATTCGAATCTGTTGCCATTCGGCAATTTGTAGTCTTTCAGATTTAAGCTATCAGTTATTGATTAACAAACTAAGCTATTTAAAGGTTGTAAGGATAATGTTAATTTTATTAACAGTTAAATTTTAAGTTTGCCTTTCCTGTCAAATTCTTAACTTCAACTGACTACTTCCGCCCAGAACGTAGTTTTGGAATCATTCTGAATACTTAATGAGGAGAAGCGGTATTTAAACCGCGAAGTCTACTTGCAGAGTTAGAGAGAATCAGAGTTTCAGATTTGCGCGCGTCTGCCTTTTGGCTACTCTCTTTCTCAAAGCTGTTATTACGCTTGGCCGTACTCAGGCCCTTGATAAGCTTCGTAGTCAAATAGAGTTAAGGAGCCAACTCGATTAGAATCTTGATAGCTTCGGCGGCTTGATAGCTTCTTTAGTTAATCTTAGTTTTAGTTTTTTTCTTAGTCTTTTAAGCTCAAGCTCAAGTGTCGGTCAAGTTCAAGCCTTTTATTGTACACTCCAAGGCGGAGTTTTGTTAAATCTTATTGAAATAATAAAGAGTTAGTTACCCTTCCTTCTTGTTGTTTCTTGTTACACGAACTTAAGAGATTATTCGCTAACTAGTTAAGATTCGTCCCTTTCTACAGTAACTGAGAATTACACTAGTGAGAATTTTACAAGGTAATAAATTAAGTGCTTAATATTACTTTTTTTAACTTTTTAATCTGATTGATTTAAATAAAATCTCATGACACATTTAATTGGAAACATAAAATATTTTTATAGATTTACGTTAGGTTATAAGGTATTTCTCGCGCCTTCTTGGCATGCCTTCGTGGTGTGGTGGTCTGCATGCTGGGCGTGTATTCTAGAAGTTCGTGGTTCGATTCTCGGCGAAGGCGTTGCTCATTTTTCAAGTCTGCTTTCCCCCCCCCCGAGAAAAAAAAAAACTAATATCTCTACAAGGGTTTTTTTTTTTTTTTTTTTTTCCCAAATATCTATCACCTAAAGTGGTAGGTACAGTGTGTCATCGGCTATCTGTTACCTATCATTGGTGTATGGCGTTAGGATGGTAGTGACTGATAACTGAAAACTCCAATATGCCCAGTCACTTAGTTGTTTAGGTTATATCTTTTGCTTTGAGAATAGTTGCATAATTTAATTTACCTGTTAAATATAGTTTCCTTTTTAAACTATGCTCCTAAACACCAGGGGGGTTAGGTACGCCTCCTAAAAGGGGTACTTCAGCTAGTACAGAAGGTACATAATGCTAATCTAAAAGTTTATTCATCTAATATCCTATAAAACTCTTCGCTATTTTACCCGGGCCATGTCTTTTGATAATCTCTACTAATAAACCACATGAAATTGTTCTTTTTGTGGTTAAACGATATCAGACATAATTGTTCAATAAAAAAAGGATTTATAAAAAATATTGTGTTTAACAATTTTTGAATATAAAAACTAAAATGTTAATAAATACTGGCTAGTGTTATGTAAGGCACCTAATTTATAATTTGTTTGTAAACCATAGTGTAATTAGTAAAATACGTTTTTAACGCCGTGTATTATGCTTTTGGGATTTCGATCAACCGCTTGCTGAAATAAATGGGCATGCTTTCCGCCCCTCCAAATCTGGCACCTTCAATCTGCAATTTTGTGTCATTTCGAGATGGGAAAACAATTAGAAAAAAAAAAAAATAAATCATAAATAAAAAAATAAAAATAAATAAATAAATAAATACTATTAATTTTTAATTAAATTTATTGATTAATTTAGTTATTTATTTGCAGCAAGGATTTTTTACTACCTATAAATTTTACATGTTATTTACATTATACTGCAATAATATAATTATTAAATTTTATTCTTTAATTATTGTTTCTAAACGTTTAAATATTAACATATCACTATTCTAGACGTTTAAATTATTTAATTTTATTACTTAAAATTACTAATTATATTTAAAAATTATTATATACCACCCTTTCCCTCTCCAAAAAAATAATAAAAATAAATTGACAATGATTAAAATTTGCTTCGACTGATGTTTCGAGTATTTTTATGCGAGAAAAAATTTGTAGCAAAAAGTTCAAAATGGCTTTCTGAAACAAAAGAAGTCTTGGAATTCAGACCTTATTTTATACCGTTCTACGTTATGCAGTTAATTAATTTACACCCAACTGAGAAACCATACGTAATTAATTAAACTCCTATCCTTTAATTACATTTCCTGGCAGGAAGAGGTAATACATATTTCATTAAGAAACGAGAATTACACAAAAACAAGAATTATGAGCAATTACTGGCAATCGTTTCCCTGCATCCAATAACAATCCCCAATCGTTCAAAATTAACCTTACTCAAGGTCATCGACGATTTGCAGAGCGTAAAAAAAATTCTCCCTCGTTCAGCTATCGCGCCGACTGACAAGTTGTTTAGACAATGACGAAACTAGTCGATGAAAGTTGAGCTATAAAAACCTTCCTCTTGAGGAGTTATTTGAGACATTTCTAAGTCGTAAGTGGCAATAGGCGGAAATTCACGCCGCCGTTTTCATTTGTCCGGTTCTTGTTTAACGCAGAATAGTGAAAGGAAGCCGTGACTGGTGCGATCAACAACTTGTAAAACACCCGATCTTGTCATTTTATTTTTTTTAATAGCTTCTTTAGAAGAGTAGTGAAAACTACATAAACATCGCATTGTTGGAGTTTAATTTTCCTATTTTTTGACGGATCTTAAAGATGAAATATTTGTTGTTTGTTATTTTGGCAGTATTATCTGTTATGTCAGTTTTGGGATTAAGAGCACAGGTTCCGGAAGAAACAAGTAAGTTCTCATTTCCTTAAAATATCATTGTTATATATATATGTAATAATAACGATATTTTGTAAATAATATTATTGTTTAAGTCAAGCTATGGAGAACTGTTTCCTGTATGAGGATTAAAACGCATTGGACATTAATTAACCTTTAATATAAAAAATATATATAAAATGTTCTTTAAATAATTTTATTTACTTAAAGATCCTGTTGTTTTTGACGATACGCTTAATACAAAATGTTTACTCGTCGTACTCTAAATTAAAAAATGTTATTCCTATTCTAAATAAAATGTATTATAATATTATTTATAATCATCATACAGCCTGTGAATTAAATCTTAATGCTAATAAATTATGAAACTGAGTTTAGACAATAAAAATATTAGTGACTGTTTTTTAATTAAAAGCAGTTATTTTATAATCAATTGAATTTTGTTTCAAAATGCTTCATATGAATTTATTTATGCGATTAAACGTGCATTGTGCAATGCTCACATGTGTAAACTGATTTGTAAAGTACTGAAGGTTACCACGTGAAATTTATGGCGAAATTCTACGAAATTAGAACGGTAATCGATATCAGTTATCGAAAGCTTCTGAGCATTAAATTTCCTCATTTCAAATGCATTAAAAAATTAGTCATATCCTGAAAAATTAAACGGATTAATAGCCAAAAGTTATCAGAAGAAAGTATGTTTAATTCTTTGCTTGCTTGATGATTTCAGATAAGTTTTCAATGTTGCATTACAATTTTCAGATGAAGTGTATTTTTAATAGATATACGAGATATTTTTATTACATTTTTTTAATTACTGATTTTAATTAAATTACAAAATAACGGTTGTGTATAATTTTGTACTAAAAATTTGTTTTTATATATACGTAAATTACATTTGCATTAACTTTTATTTAATAGAATTAAAAACTGTTATTGTTTTATTACTTCCGCTTTTATCACATTGCTCGATTTTCGGAAATGTTAATTTTTTCCCAAAATTCTATTAAGTTTTTTACGTTTATTTGTATCAAATTTTGAAGTCAGTTTTTTTTTACCAAGACAACTGAATAGATTATCTTGAAATATAATTAACCTTGCTTAAGGATCAAACTAATTACAACAGATTTTTGTTTTTGCCTTTGTATTATCTGATAGATTAGAAAATAATATTTCAAATGAGGTTGTTCTGAATTGCTGGTATAACATCTATTCTTGGCGATTTTTATAAATCGATGGATGGACTGCTGAACGACGGATTTTATAGATAAATCATGATGACTTTTTATTTTTGATTCAATCTTAAAACATACGCTTGTGGAATTTACCCGCAGTGGAAGAAATCGCGGTAAAATTTCTGCATAGTTGTCACAAAATCGTTTAAAGGAACAAGTGGGAAAAAAAAAAAAAAAAAAGTTTTAAGCTTGATTGATCTTTGGGATAAATACCTAATTAAAACACTTCTTTCTAATTATATGTGATCATTCATTTTCTTCTGCAAGTAATCGCGGTAATTCGTAAGTACTCATTATTGTTACAATAATTAAAGAGAATAATTTTTCTACGTTCTGAAGAGAATAATCTTAATAATTAAAGAAAATAATGTTTCTACGTTTTTTTTTGTATATTTTCAAGTGATCACCATCTGCTGAATGGTGAAATCGTTGTGCACTTGTAGTTCGACTTTAGTTCAAATAACTGTGAAGAAATTAGTAACATGGGGGTTTTGATAGTTTCCCTCATGCATAAAGTGAATACGAGCAAGTTGCCTATAGAAAGTCCTCCACGGAAGCATCTTCCTCTTCAGCAGATATTCCATGTAAACTTTACCATAATCTAAGAAATATTCTCTTCATCATTTTCCACGCTTCTGCGTAAAATAGAATATATGAAACGCTCTTTTAAGAATATTTTAAAGTTATGATTTTAATTTAGATGTACGATAAAGATAATAAAAAAATAGCTAAAAAAATCGTGATAAGTCCATAGATTGAAGATAGATATTAAAAATTTTAATGAATAGTACAAATGATGCCGCAGAAAAGATATTTATGAGAATGGTTAAACTCATTTGACTTTCTTTTTGAATCTTGATTTGAAATTCATCATTATTAGCAACCACATGGATTTATTTTTAGTCACATGTAATAAATGTTTTGATACGTAAAAATAGAATATATAAAAAAACATTTTTAATTTATATTTTTAGTTATACTAGAAAATAATAATTTTTACTTATTATAATAGTTTTGTTCATATGTGACTAAAAATTAAACCATACAGCCACTAAACTAGCGGATTTTAAATCAGAACTGCTAAGCAAAAATTTAAATGATTTTAATTACGATTTTATTTTAATTCACAGAATATTCTGTTGCTAAAAATACCACTTTTTTGCTTTTTTAGTGCATTTAATTAAAATTGTGCAACTTAAAATAAAATTTTAAAATATTTTATTTTATACTTTTTAGCTGTAGAATATGGAAAAGTAATAAAGAAAATCAACGATTTTTGAATTTACAGAAATTATTTTTTCAAACCAGCGTAATATGCTTGATGACACCATTTTCTCCAATCTGTTACCTATCTTCTGTGGGATTTAGATATACCATCTCATCATTACTTTAAAACCATAGGCCTACTAGCAATAAAGGATTAATTCTGTTGATTTGAAAATCCATCGTTCTTAGCAATCATTAGCTTTAAAGAAAATTTAATAATTTTTTGAAAACCGCCAACAGTTGGTTATTTTAGGTATTCCGAAAAATTTACATTTGGAAGATTTTTTTTTTTTTTTTTTTTTTTTTTTTTTTTTATCTGTTTAATGGCTTAACATCAGAATTCTGCGATGAGGAGTTATTTGAGCGAGTTTCAGGAATGCTGAAAAATTTCAACAACAGGGCAAAAAATTTCAATTTCAAACAAGAAAAAAGACCAACAAGCCAATAAAAATGAAAATGGAAATATGTTAAATAAATTTAAAAAACAATAAGAAAATTATTTAATTATTTCCATATGTTATAAATCAGATTGAAATCTGTATTTTAATTATTATGGCGTATAACTTTACCAAAGAATACAATGCGACTCATGACTTCGCTTTCCTGTGAGTGTCGCAACAACCCTAATAATGGGAAAATGCATTTTTTTTTTTTTTTTAAATCTTTAAAGGTATATCTCTGCATTGTATCATTTTTTGTTAGTTTTTTTTCCCTGTGAAAAATCCTCGGGACAACCTATTTTTTAGCTAAAAGGGGCAATTGGCATTTTGCGTCGTCCAGTATAAAACGGCGTTTCACTTTTCAAATTGTTGCCACCAAATATAAGAGCCCTGCATTATATTTAAAGGAATTAAATAATGAAGAATCTGCATGAATAATATATGTATATTTCTCGCAATAAGAAAAAACAGCAGTACCTAGAAACATCAAATTTTGAATAACGTCGTCCTCCGCTCGGATATGGACATCTGCAAGCCCAAATTAAACATTTAGAATTTGTTTTATTATCTGTTTCATATTTTGTAAAACTGTAATGAATTTTTGATTAACAAACTCGACGATTTCAAAGCGAGCAACGGCAACACAGTATGAAGAAAAAAAAAAAAAAAAAACTCTAGCGTGCGTGACTGTGTGTCAGAAATTCTAAAGATATGCTCCTTTTAAGTATTTTGTGATATTGCTGTTGAACTGAATTTTATAGTTTAAGTGCGAAGAACATAATATTTAATAAGTAAGGTAGCGCACAAAATGAGGAAAAAAAAAAAAAAAAAAAAAAAAAAGCGGTTTTGGTCGTAATGCAAATCTTGAAAGCTTTCAGATTTTTTTAATTTATTTATTTTGGTGTTGTTGCTTTAACGTGTACTGCATTTTGAGTAATAGATTTGCCGAGAAATGAACAGAAGCAATCCTTCTTTTTGTAGGCAGTATCGAGTAAAAGAATCGCAGTTTTCATGCTCTTAAACTGTACATGACAGAAGACGTACGACGGAAATGTAATGTTTATAATTGCCGAGAAAACTTTTGGGAACTGGTTAGAAGGAAGTAATTTGCTGGCTGAGACATGCTGCTGAGAATAATAATTTGTTTGATGTAAATTTGAATACTCTATTCAAACAATATCCTCCGGAAATCGAAGAACCAATTTAACCGATCTGCTGACACTGGAAATATATAGTATTTTCCGAAGTTAAGTCGAGGTTTAAGAAGGGGAGCCTTTGCCTTATCTATTTAAGATATTATATGCCGGGTGTAAAATATCACAATGACGTATATTTACATTTGCTAACAAAGTTGTTAATTATATTAAATAAAAGTTATTAATGATACATTTATCATTCCAAATGAAATGTTAAGAAAAGTAAAATATTTATAAAAATTGAGAGAAAAAGTATTTTATGAAAATTTTATAAAGAGACAAATAAATAACGGCTACTTTTTGTGTTATCGGCAAAACTTTTAATAATAAATTTGCCCATCTGGAGCGACTCCGCTGTTTTACTAATTTAGCTTTAAGATATGGATTTAAAGATCACCATCATCTGCAATTAGAATTTTCATTTATTTTTATTTTTGTTTTTTGCCGCAACTCTTACTTCATTGTATGTTCCCTTTCCATAAATCGACTACACCAACTATTAGTTACCTTAACATTTTTATCATTCGGACCGCTTTCAGTACATTTAAGGACACGCTTTGATCTATGTACCTCTTCCATTAGTTTTATTAAAAAAATCCAGTTTTCCACAACGTCTTCAGATTCTAACCACTTCTAAAACCTACCAGTTTTTAAGATACGTTTTGATTTCGCGTACTTGCTGATACATTTCTCTTTCTCACTGCAGATATCAATTTTGACAGTTCCCGAATCCATTTGGACAATTTTTCGCATGATGTCTGTATGTACGTATGTATATCTATGCATATATCTGGTGTGACTCAAAAATTAGTAGCCGTAGAGCGTCGAAATTTTGTATATGAGACTGCTGTAACATCTATTTGTGCACCTCCCTTTTTTATTGCAATCGGCAGAACTAAACTTGCATATATATATATCACACACACCTACCCAGCACCTCCTTACTTGGCTAAACCCTTACCCGGATTTTATTTTCGCAGTCCTTGGTCGTAGTCATATGCTTCCAATTACAGAAGTGTTTTAAATAATGTTTAAAATTCATGTTTTGACATTGTCAAATTTTAGAACAATTTAATTTCCGACCAATAGCAAAATCTAACTTTTAATGCGGTCTCCCAGGTCCTACATTTATATCTGGGAACGTTTCATACTCGTTATGGAAAAATACGAGTAAAAATACAAGAAATTTGACTCCCGTGCGACAAAAATTGGACGGGATATTTAATTTCAAAATTTGTGCAACTTTTGAAGTCATTTTCAACTTGCCTTGAGAGATCGGTTAATTAAGTTAGAATAATTCCAGAAAAAAAGTTTAAATGAAGTGTATCAGAAAATGTGTATAATTTAATAGACCGTGGAAGGAAGTCATATGGTGTGCCCACATGATTTTTTTTCCGCCTCGCTTTGGTTTTTTATTTTTACCAAATTTGCTAAATGCTGCTTCTGATGATTGACTGATATTTTGTGTCTGCATAAATTTGAAGATTATTTGGATAAAATCTTGGGCAAATCTTCGACTGGATTTACAAGAAACGTCACTGTCCGCTAGAAAATCGGG